TGGATGAACCCCGCGGCGGGGGTCCGGGGTCCGCAGCCTAACACCGGCTTTGCCCCCGGGGTTCCCCACTCGACAACGCTGGTCCCCACACTCAATTTCCAAAAATCCTTGGCACACCCCAGCTTGCTGTTTTTCTGGGCCTCTTTCCGCACATCTAGCACTCCGAGCGAAAGACAGCGCAGGGCGTGAGGTTGGTATCGGAGTCGACACGTGTCAGTTCTGATGATAGTAAGTCGAACTGGCGAGAGGTAGAAGAAGAAGTCCCCCACCCGCTCGCCGAGCCAGATCTATATCTGGTGCTGCTATACCAGCTATACCAATGGTGGACGGTAATAGGGTAGCGGTTAGCATTCCCTTCCGCTTCCTCTTCTTCCCTAATCATACCCACCCCGAAGCTTGGGCGGAAGCAGTTGAAGCTCAAGGATAAAGTGCGGGTGGCCTTCCCCACATTCTTACCTTGCTGCTTCGGAATACCGCGCATGATTGGTTCAGGAAGCACGCGTGGGTAGATTGAAATACTTTCAAACAAGCATTCTTGGCTCGATTCGATACGGTCAGTGAAGATTCCGCCTGGTACGTTCTCAAAACTCGGCCACAAGGACCAGGGGAATTGCTGCCCGATTTCGTGGATCGATTTCAAACCACGTTGGACAAATCTGGGCGAGACGAGAAGTCCGCTCGAGATTTGTTCTTATTAATCATCTACGAAGTCCGACATTGAAAAGGAAGTTACAGAAAAAGGTCCCGCCGAAGACACACCAGCTATCTGCTATCATCGCCAAAGCATTGGAACTGGACCTGGCTGATACAAGAAAATATATCAGTGAGGGAGATGAAGATATTACAGATACCATACGGGATGTGGCGGCTAAAAGGCAATCGTGGTTGTGGGCAGTAGAACGGTTTTATCCCCGCCTCGACCATGACCTTCCCAACGGGATCGCTTCCGATGTCCTGCCTGTTTCCTCTTTCTCTCCCCCAACGAATCAACCGATAACGACAGTTAGAAGTGGAATCTCTCATGAATCCCCCTCGCCGGCCGTAACCAACTTACATCTCGCCCAAATTATCCATACGGCCACTACCAAGCATTCCGAATGGATGAGCAACTTGATTCAAATGCAGGCAGCTCACATGGAGCGGATGGAACAAATAATGAGCAGGCTAATTAAGCCCAACCCAGCCCCTGCTCGACCTGCCCCCGCGCCATTTCCTCTCTTGCCTGCCCCGCCCGCTCCTGGCTATCCACCACAGTTCCCTCACCCGACTAATCCTGCTGGAAAGATCAAGTGTTTTAACTGCAAACAGCCCGGACATTTTGGCCGGGACTGCCCGCAGCCAAAACGTAATCAACCCCCGCCGGCTGCGGCCCCTGTTGCTCTAAACCAAGGACAAATGGCCGCATTGATGGACATGGCCCAAGGAGGAGAACTCGTTGTATATGAGCAGCCTTCCCTCTCAAAGGCAATAGCGTCAACATCGGGATCTTCTTCCTCTGACGTTGTTAACGTGGTCGATCCACTCGAGTATCTTCACGTAGCAGGCATGATCGGGGCGATCTGATGATCTTGAATGGGTCGATCGCGATTCTAATTCCGGTCCACAGTTTAGGACGGGCGAAATCGATGTGTTACGAACGCTCAAGCAGCTAGATTTCCGTGTTCCGATCCCAGTGGGACACTTGCTCACCATATCTGAAGCTGCAAACGATAAACTGTTACAATAATGTCAGAAGAATCAAAAGCGCTTCACGTACCAGTGCGTACAGCGGTTGTTAAAAAAAGAGGAGGAAAACGAGAATGTTGCGCCACCAGGACCGGAAACGGGTGAACCCGAAGCAACACGAGTAGCTGCGACCTGTTTAGCCGAGAAGGATCACTTCGTACGAGCTCGGTCGGTGCTGTGGAAGAGCGCGGAATGTGATTGTGAAGTTTGGGGCAAGCCGTTTAACGCCCTTATCGACACATGGTCTTCTGCAGTGGCCATCTCATTAGTCACCGTCAGGAAGACGGGACGACTGGGATCCATTCTTCCTCAATCTGGCAAAGACATCTATGTCTCTGCCGACGAGAAAACAATGAATATCGTGGGCATTATTGAGAATGTGGCTGTAAAAGTCGGACGAGTACACGTCCTCGTTAACACACTCGTGATAGATGTGCGCTCCTATTCCATACTATTGGGATTACATTGGGCGATGGCGGTGGGCGCACGTTTGCATTTTGATTCCAGACAACTGGTGCTCACGCAAACTGGGGGAAAGCCTCAAACTGTTCCCTTGCGAATTTCCACCCGAACGATAAAACAAACTCCTAACTCAACCCAAATAGGGATGATTCGATGCATCGATACAGAGGAGTATTCATCCTCGGACATCGGCAGCAGAATCGAGGAACAGGAATACGAAGAAGAACTGCCTAGTGAGGATGAATGGAAGCACCTGGTCGAACTTTTCGAACACGAAATTCCCGAAGAATTTCAAGTGTGCCCCGACACAGCGCGAAGCTTCCACGTGGATTCAGGAGACAGCGCGCTTGCGCCTCCGAAAACACAAGTCAGTCCTTCAGTCCTCCTAGGGGAACCCATATTACAAGTGTCTGACCTGGCTGATGATTTGGAACCCCCTCGCACCTTGTACGCGGGATCGCTTTCCTTACGAACACATTATCAACAAACGGAATAGTATTTAAACGTTTCTGTTTTCCCGCCCCGATCGTTACTAACAACGGGGGCGACCATCGCTTTGATTAAACAGAAGGCAAAAGCGTCGGTAGATGACGTGCCTGATCTAATGCAAGAGATGACGGACCTAACAAGACTGACTGTGGAGCAGATTTCGACCGACTCAAGAACTGACGCCGAAACTAAAGAAACCGAAATGATTAGCCCCGCCGAATCACAGATGATTGCGACTATCTTTTCTGTTCGCAGCAGCAGTTCTGTCTTTTCCGGTGTTTACGATCGAAGGGAGCGGCCGGTTGATCGGATCGACATACCCCTTAAGACTCATGGGGAATCAACGATCACTCTGCCAAGCCACGTCCCCACGAAACTTCGAAAGTCACTAATCAATGTTTTGAACGGTTATGCAGAAGTGTTGAGCGTGCATGATAATGATATCGGTTTGACTAACGTGATCGAGCATGCCATCCTCACGGGAGAACATCCGCCCATTAGCTGCGCTCCTTACCGATACCCGCCAGCTCAAAGAGCGGCCACTTTTCAACGGATTAAGGAGTTTGAAGTTAATGGATGGATCGAACCCGCTATAGGTCCATGCTCTTTTCCCGTAGTGATCGTGCTTAAAAAGGCCGGAGGGATTCGCATTTGCATAGATTATCGAAAATTGAATGATATCACGATCAAGGATGTGTACGCCCTCCCCCGGATTGATGAGTTGTTGGATGCGATTAGGAGTGCTCGATTTTTCAGTAAGTTTGATGTCCGCCATGGGTTCCATCATCTTCTTGTCCGAGAGGAAGATCGTCCGAAAACGGCGTTTGTGCTTTTCGAGGGTACGTGGCAGTGGGTCCGGTGTCCGATGGGTATCTGCAACGCTCCCACGAGCTTTCAGAGAGCCATGAATATGGCTTTTCAGAATTTCGTACGGAAGACTCGTTTGGCGCAGAGCATCATCAACTATTGCGTGATTGTGTACATGGACGACATTCTGGTGTACTCGAGTTCCTACGAGGGATACGTGCAGCACATCGAATGGGCTCTCCATGCGCTACGAGATGCGGGTTTCAAGGTGGCGCTTGAGAAGTGTCAGTTCTTTCTTACCACCATTTCCTTCCTGGGACACGTGGTAACACACAAGGGGCTCCAACCGGAGCCCCACAAGGTGGCAGCTGTCAGAGATGCGCCGGTGCCTACGACTATCACGCAAGTTCGCGCCTTTTTGGGCCTGGCCTCGTACTACCGAAAATTTATCAAGGGCTTCGCGGCGATCGCGGGACCCCTCACGAATCTGCTGCGCAAAGATCAACCGTTGATCTGGACGTCGGGGTGTGATCAAGCGTTCTCGAAACTCAAGGCCGCTCTCATTTCAGCTCCGGTCCTTATAAGACCGGATCCCGAAAAGCCTTTGTTCTCATCACTGACTGGCAGCCAGAGGCAATTTCGGCTATCCTTGCCCAAGTGGGACCAAGTGGACTCGAGAGCGTGGTGGAGTATGCGTCCAAATCGGTGCCCGCCTGCAAGCGCAACTACGCCGCTCCGGCGATAGAATGCTACGCGGCTCTTTGGGGAATCAGTCACTTTCGCGCTTACCTGTACGGGCGGAAGTTCACATTGGTAACCAATCATGAACCCATGTTGGCTCTGAAGAAATCGAAGGATTACTCTGGCATGATCGGGCGATGGGCAACGGTGCTACAGAGCATGGACTTTGGCATTCGTCATCGGAAGCACGAGAGACACGGGAATGAGGACGGACTGACACGATTGCACCGGCCTGAGAAGGTTCCGAAGAGTGAGGAGGTGATTCCGTGGAACGAACCCGAACACGAGGTTGGACCTCGGTACGGCCAAGTGGAGATCATGTCGAAGCAGTAAGTGACTCGAGGATCAATTTGACTGATTCTACCCTCTCCGCAATTCGGTCCCATCTCTCTTCCTCTATCATCATGACTACCCCACCTGTCTCTGCAACCCCTTCTTCTCCTACTAATTCTGCCCCTCTCACTTCCTCAACTTTCTTTGCCACCCTCCCTGACAAATTCTGCTATTTTTGTACGTGTATTGCATGGGTTTATGGGGTCGACTGTCATCCTTTCGAAACCGGGTTTGTCGATTGGGTAGAATGTGCCACGTGTGTCAATCGTGCGCACGGGGCCTGCGTTCGATATCGGACGAATAGCAAGGAATGGGGGTGCCCCCTGTGTAGAACGAACAAATTCCCCACGGAGGTTCGATTCGAGGCCGCCCAGATGGACGGCCCTGAATACGACAAAAAATACTGACGAGCGGAGGTTGCACGGATAAAATTTTATTGGCGAAATTAGCGGGATTATCATTGGGACACCTCACCAAACACGACAGACGTAGGGCAACCGAGAGATCTCGGGACTATCTGTGGATTAACGGTTATTTGGAGAAGCATAAAATTGACGGGTCAGGGTCATGGTTGATGGTTCCCCACCCATTCCAGAGATATGATTGGATCCAATCGGCTCATGAAGAACAGGCCGCTCATTTTGCGATACGTGTCACGGAGGCGACTATGGTCCAACATACGAGTTGATGTCAGATACATTGTCGCCAACTGTCTAGTCTGTGCCGCTGATCGTGCCCCAATGCGGGGACCAAACACGATAGTACCAATGGAAGTAGAGCGCCCCTTTCAACGAGTCAGTATGGACACAACAGATATCGACGTGCCACCTGACCCAAATCGCTGTGAATATTCTATCATGTTAGTATTAATAGACCATTTTTCCAAGTACATCGAGGTCTATCCCTGTAAGACCCGAAAGGCCGCGGAAATAGCCATGTACATCGAACGGTTTCTCTATACCCATCTAGATACGGAAGAAATTATAACCGACAATGGGTCCGAATTTAAGGGAGACGTAGAGGAACTGCTCGCACGAAGGGGCGTCACGCTCCGACATACTGCACCTCACGTGTCCCAGTCCAACGGGTTGGCTGAGAACGCCAACCGTATGATTAAAACCGCCCCTCGTAGGAATTTAGCGGCACACGACACGCATCCGTGGCCCGAGATCGTATATCAGATCGTCGGGATCCACCGGGCCACCCCTCACGAATCCACGGGGTTTGCCCCTTTTCAGCTTCGTACTAGTAGCCTTCCCTGTGTCGACTACCGGGGTAACTCAGAAATTACCGAAGCAGGGGGTAGAGACACGCATACAACCCTCAAGGCCAAGGCCAAAAGGTACACCGAATTAATGGAGCGGGCCGTTCCGAAGCTAGCCCGAAAAAGACAAAGGATGACCGATCTGGCCCACGGTAGGCAGGTTCGTAGCTACGAGGCTCAGAATGGAAATGCTGGGCCCCAGCATCAATATAAATTAGGGGACCTAGTGCAGGTACGTAAATGTGCACGCGACCACAAACTCGCTCCCAAGTTCTCTGGCTGCTTTCACGTTGTTGAACTCGGTCCTAACGGCGCCAACACGGTGCGCATCGCGCCTGAGGCTAGTGCCAGCCATAGCTCTGTCCCCATCGTCCGGCATACCTCCTACCTTCGTCCTCTTCCTCCTGCTCACCTTCCTCCCTCTCCCTCCTCCGAAAGCGAGGAGAACGATGACGATCTAACTCTCTCTCCGCTCTCTCCCTCTTGCCCTTCCTCCTCCTCTTCCGCCTCGCCATGAGTTTCATCACGGAGCGAGCTCTTGACGAACAGATGTTGCAGCCACGTGGCCATATCTCGAAAATTCGGCAAGTTCGTCATCCACGGCTTAATACGGATCTTCGGCGATTGTCGCAGTTCTTTTGCGACGTGGGTGTGTGTGTCGCCGCCGCGTTTCGATTCGAAGGGAGCTCACAGGCAGTGGTACTGGTGGAAGTAATCGCAGTTCATCGGCGAGCGGCTCCCGGAACGAGCCACGTCACCACGGTTGCGGCTTTCAGCGGCGACATCAGTTCGCTTAATCCACGGTGGCATACCGCGATCTTGACCTCGCTGCAAGAGTGGACGGAGCAAGTATCCAACGAGTGGCAACACGGTCTTGCCCGGCCAGGGTATAACCTCCTCCCGACCTTTGCACCGGATCTTGGCGAGATCCGTCGTTCTCCGCTCGAGCCGCCGGTTGCGATCCCCACCCTCGTCCCTTTCCCACGTCCCCAATGAACCACGCCGATCCCCTCGCTCCTCTCTCCATCTTCGGTCGCCCCTCTCTTTTCCCCACCTTCTGGCAATCCGATCTTCATCCTTCTCTTTCCTTCTCGTTCAAACCTCTTTCTGTCCCGCTTATTAACCCCTGGGCATTGGCGGCTGTGGCGCGAAACTTTTAACGAGTTGTCCTTCTGCTTGGCCCGAGTACAGGTGACGTGGACGCAGATCAGCGAGCATCCTGCGTGGATCGAACATTTGGAGCTGCTGATCATACAAGCTTGGAGAACTAACGTCGAAGGCGATCTTCTCGGCTTTCTCTTTGGATCGGTACGGCCGGGCCGCCGCCAGTTGATTGCGCAGGAGCTCATCGCGCCGATCGTGCAATTGGCGGACGATCTCTCGCCCGACATCTTTTCGCAAAGTGACGACAGCCCCGCACCATACGTTCTCGAGTGGTCATTGGATCCGTACCTTTAGTGGACCTTGTGCTTGGAGGAGCCCAGGGACGAAGATACGCTACCATCACGGCAGGAATATCTGAAGCCTTACGACACCATCCCTCACACCTTCTATCCGAAGGCGGAAGAAGTGGTGATCGACGACGAAGAAGAAGACGACGAAGAAGAAACGTCGGAAGAAGGAAGCTACAGCGAGTATAGCGAGGGCGAGCTGAGTGAAGAAGAAGAAGACGAAGAAGAAGAAACCGGATCTGAGTGGGAAGCCCTGCCGGAGGAAGCTGCGCGCACGGGCACAAAAGCGGAAGATCCTGAGGCCGCACACAAGCGGGAAGAAATCGCCTCTGGGAAACGCCATTTAGAATTCGCCAGCGAAGCAAGCCTGCGCATCGGTGACGATCCGACCAAAAATCCGGAGCCACCGAAGCCCGAAGATGGCGACCCCGCAGCCGCCTCCCCAAGAACCGCACGATGGAGACGGAGCAGATCCCCCTCCTCCTCCAGCCCCACTCGTCCCCCAGTTCGCCCATGTACCGATGCGGGCGATAGGCCTTCGTCCTCGGACGTTATCCCGCCGTCCCCTTGATTTTCTCACCCTCGAACAGATCCGCAACCCCGTCACCTTTCCCCTCCATCCCTTCCTTCCCCAACTTTTCCGCGACTTCTACTCTACTCGCCTACTCGCTACCGTCTACCCCCACCCATCCCTTCAGCCCGCTGCCCCCACATTTTGCTGGCATATCCTGCTGTTCAGCGCTGCATGGGAGCGATGCAACGTGGTAGAAGTCTACTGCGTAGCTACGGGGACAATCCCTGCCTACCGCCACTACGAGTTCTTTCGAGCGGCGCTCCTCCGCACCCTCTCCTCCTTCTATCGTGACTACCTCGCCTCCCTCCCTCATAGCGGCGATCGCTTCCCTCGCTTCCACCAAATCATCCGATATGAGGAGCTTCCGGTGACAATGGAAGGGATGAATCGCTACCTAACCCCACTTCCACACCGTCGTCCCCGTGACCTCCCCTCCATGTACCGCCTCTACTGGCCCATTCCAACTAGGCGATAGATCCCGATCACCTGACTATTCCCTCCTCTCTCCATCGAAGATCACTCCATCGACGATGACGTCAACCTACGCTCTGATTCGACGGGCAGCGACAACCTGGGGTGCAGGGCACACGGAGAACCGGCGGACGATGATGGCGTCACCTGGACGACCATCGATGATTCCAGCAGCACGTTGGCAATTGAAGATGGCGTCAACATGGACTCTGGCTGGATCGTTTGTTGAGACGCTTGGTTCCTCATGCATCACTCTGTTCTCCCTCTCCCTCTCTCCTTCTCCGCCATGACATGCAATCAGGAGATCGCATAATTTTGGAACCCCCTGCACGTCACATATGTGACGAACTACTTCTCGAACYCGTGCTATCTTTCGTACCCTTTTCGCTTGTATCATACCCACCCCATAAAAGACCCCGTTTCGTTTTCTTGATTTCGGGTGTCGCATTTCGAGCCCCCATCTTCCGGAAGCTTTTGTGATTCTTCGGTTCCGCTTTTTTTTTTTTTCTCTTTGCACGTCGGAAAATGCATAGGAATTTACACGCGCCTTAGCGAGCGCACTGGGAATTGGGCCCGACAGTTGGGTATTCCGAGATAAGCGGAACTTCGACGTGTCATTTTTTGTGTGTGAACGTTCTCGGTCGCATTGGGGAAAACTCTCGGAATTTTGTCGGGATGCGAATAGGCGTAAGACTTTTTTTTCCCGCGTTGCTCTTCCATGCGTGGATATGGTGATTTCAATTTTGAATCGGTTTAGGATGTAGGAAAGCTGTAACTGTTTCGGTGCCTTTTTCTCTTTTTTTTGTTGACAGCGCCACGCATGCAAAACTTTCTCCTCTCTGTCCCCCGCACCGCTCTCTCCCGCGCTCCTTTTTCCTTCCCCTTCCTCTTCCTCTCTCCTCGTAACTGTTTTTTTCCCTCTCTTTCTCTCTCCCGCTCAGCTTTTTGCGCGCCCATTTCCCCTTTCTTGATCATCTGAATCTTGGACCCGTCTTGCGCTACTTCTCGCGCCTTTTTCTTCTCTCGCCTTTCGGGCAAAGCTTGCGAAGTCCGGTCGATCCTTCGATTACTCTCGGCCACCAATCAGACGCGGCGTACGGTAGGATCTTCCTATTGAGCGACGAGTCTGATTGGCCAATCGCTGAGTCCCGAAGAATCAACATGGTTTCTATAGCGCGCTCCTCGCTAAGTCTTCTCCTCCTGCTTCTCTCCTCACACTTCGGCTTTCCCCCTGCCTTCTCTCTCCCTTGTCTTCCTCCTCGCCACTATAAATTCCGCAAACGCGCCCGCAAATCTCTCTTACGTTCTCGACTCTCAAGCCAGCTTTTGGGAAGCAGTGGCTAGGCAGAGTGTTTGGTGCGAGTTGGAAAGTCCTGTCGGGCTGACGATAGGCTGGTCGGTTGCGCGCTTGATCGCCACGACGGACTGTGGGATCTGGGCGAACCGCGTCGAGTTTACATCGGCGGGGTGACGATCGCAGTGGTGGGAGTTAGCACGCGACGGCCGGGATCGTCGGTGCGGGTATGAGGATCGATGATTGGAGTTGAGTGAGTGATTGGCCTGGGGCCATGTTGGAATTAACGGCGAATGCGCCTTTGTTGTTGCGGATCTTTATCTCTGGCGTGAGTGTATGGCGGCAACGCCGAACTTCCTCTTTTCGGATCTTGTCCTCTTCTCTCTCGACATTCCTCCCTCGTCTCCCTCTCTCTCCTCTATCTTTGAATGATGAAGTGTCTCGATGTTTGTCCCTCTCTCTCTCAAATGGGAATGAGTCTGCATGTTGTTCCTGTGTGAAAGAACTTCTTCTGGAACTCTTCCATTAGTTTCCTGGGTAGTCCTCCTATGCAAGAACCCCGTCTTCTTGTCTTGTGAACGGTGGATGCGTGTGTATTATTCAGCGATCCATCTTCTATCCCTGAGCATATCTCATTTTCACACCTCCCGCAGTGAATGTATGTATGGAGGTACACGTCTTTTTGTGTTGATTAGACGATTGTTGTCGGGACTTTGTCCGAGAATGCAAGAGTGTTTAGATCTGAGGTTCTGAATGCACTGCGCATGCCATCTGCCTTATGTTGCACGACATCTGCAGTCGATCTATAGGGCAGCCTCGAGAAACAAGGCGCCTGGGATCAATACCGCGGTTGTTTACAAGAACCTGAGTCGCGGGTCGGTCCCTTAGTTACATGCATGATCGAGCTGATGAGTTTTTGTTTTTTTTTCTCTCTCCCTCGTGTTGAAAAGGATTGATTGGAGATTGCGCGAGTGTTTCTCCTTGATGAAGTCTCGGAATTTTTGCAATTGATTGACATGTGGACTGATAAGCACCCTTCGATCGGGCGTCAGCCTCCCGTACCTCTCGTATCAACACGGCCTTTTCCCTATAACGAGGAAAGGACACGTGTACGCGAGTAGGATGTACGAGAAGCTATCGCACAGATCGGCGGCCGATACTACTTCCCCCCCTCAAACCATTGTTCAGGGTTCGTAGAGGCTGGGTTTGTTATTATCGACACGCATTTTCCACCCTACTCAATATTGTTCCCCTTTAACGAGCTGATCGTCATGCCGTGGACGGCAGTGGCGCCCCATTGGCCTCGAACCCTGTGCACAGAGTGCCAACGTTTCGATTGCTACGAAGCAAAGGGCTTCCACTACCGAATACGAAGTGAAGACGAGCATAAGGAAAGAGCCACGCGGCTGGGACCCTCCACATCAGACTCAGAACTGACCAGCGAGCGACGGGATTTGATACGAAAACGAGACACGCGAAGCGTGCCAAAGCCGTTCCGCTCTAAACGACGGGCCGTAGCACGGTGGGAAGCTCAACAATACTTTTTGGATTGAATTTGGATTTTTCTATTTTCGCGCCGTGCCCGCGCGCGCATTCCACGACGCGCGAAAGCAACTGACTTACTTCATCGGACCAACACGGGGGATCTCAGTTCCGTCTGTGTCCCCACACTCAATTTCCAAAAATCCTTGGCACACCCCATCTTGCTGTTTTTCTGGGCCTCTTTCCGCACATCTAGCACTCCGAACGAAAGACAGCGCAGGGCGTGAGGTTTGCGCGTCATAGCACCTCGACCATGGGTAGATTGAGGACTACATGGCAGGTCGACGATGGGCGGCGTGATGGGAGCTCCGCAAGAGGAGGAGGCGGAGGTTGGCACCTCGACGATGGGCAGGTTGACGACGTTGTGGCAGCTCGACGACGGACAGCGCAATGCGAGCTCCGCGCGAGGAGGAGGAGGAGGTCAGCTACGAGTGGTGGGCAGCTGGATGACGACTGGGCAGGAGCAGCTCGATGACGACGGCCCAGGGGCAGGTCGATGGCGACGGGCAGGTCGATGACGACGGCAGGGCTTCGAGCTTCGGCAGCAGGAAGGACAATCCCCCGTTCGGATTTGAATGGGGGATTGTAGCCCTCCAGCCTAGAAACTTAGAAAGTGACTGAAAGTCGTTAAAAAAAAAAAAAAATCCAAGGACTACGCGGCTGGGGAGGCTGCCACTGGCCGAAAAAGGCCTCCCCCCCACCGCGCGCGAAATTGTGCTGGGCCCGCCCGGTGCCCAACCGGGTGACCCAACCGGCCGGGCCGCCCGGGAGCCCTACCGGACGAAGGCCAGGCTGCCGGGCGGTCCGGATTTTAACACAGCTTTGCAGGTGAGCCCTCCAGTGCTAGCGGTGCTGTTTAGAGCAGGCATCGCTAGCACCCGGGGAGAGGCTCCATCTATTGGTGGGGAGCGTCACCTGCTGGAAAACGGGTCCAGCGTCCCTTACACATCACAGTACACGTCTGATCAAAGTTCATCAAACAAACAACTACAATGTTCAGGGACGCTGGACCCGTTTTCCAGCAGGTGCTGCTCCCACCAATAGATGGAGCCTCCCCGGCAGTGCTAGTGGTGCCTGCTCTTATCAGCAATGCTAGCATCCTACCCAGGTTGTTCCCTCAAAAAAAAAAAAAAAAAAAAAAAAAAGACCTATTAATTTAATATTAAACAAATTATTACTTTCAAAAATGCAACAGCTGGCAAGTTGCAGGAGAAAACCTGGAAATACATCTCTCATTTTTCCTCTGAAAGGATTTCATGCATTCCTGTGGCTAGGTCCCAGACCTCGTCCCAGAATTCCCAAGTCCCATGTCCCATGCATCATAGCCCAAACTAGTAGGCCCTGTAATACAGTAGAAACCATAGGGTACCATAGGTCTGTTCGTACAGTCAATCCAGTCGATAGTTAGGCCAAAGGAGTCCAATCAACAGCCCAGTCCAAAAGAAGCAGCTCACTCCAGGGAAAGTCTGGTACCTACTGGAAAAGTCAAGAGAGAACCCCGGCCGGAAGGTAGGAAGTCGGTACTGGTCCAAAGTCCAAGATTGGGAACTGCAGCAAGATGTAAAAGTCCAGCAGCCCCTAGACATCAAAACAATTCCCATTCAAGCATGTCGCAGAAGCGCTGTTGTGGTTTTCTGTGGACAAAGATCAAGTGAGAGGCTGCGAGGGAGCAAAGTAGAGTAGTCAACAGCGCCCGCTGCCATATCCAGGACAAGAGAGAGAGAGAGAGAGAGAGAGAGAGAGAGAGAGAGAGAGAGAGAGAGAGAGAGAGGGCATTCAGAGAGGTAGATCCATAGAGAGAGAGGGTGTTCATAATTCTTTGTTTTTTTGCAATAATTCTGAGTTTCTCATATTGCATGCATAGTGTCCCTCATTTGTGAAGCTTTGGTGTGATGAGTGTGAACTCGTACGGTCTTCTGAGGCCGTGCGAACTTGTGAGATCGGTGCACATCCACCCTTGGCCTTTTCCCCTTCTCCACAATGATTCAAAAATGAGAGGAGGTTAAATTGAAAAATCACAAAACAATTAACAGAAAGCATCAGAGAGTTTTGTTTGGGAGTCTAGGGGCTCTGAGCATTCGAAAAGAGGCCAGTAGTTATTCTAGTTCTCCAACCTGTCCTTTAATTTTCGTGAATTTCCTCAATAGTTCCCAGACTGA